CACTGCCCATGTAATTTCCATCCCGAAGGCAGAAGTGGGGCAGAACAACCCTACCCAGAGAAGCTTCTCGAAGGTTCTAACGTTCTTTGTGTTGTTGAGTCATTAGATTCAAGGGTTGAAAGCTCCTTGGCTTTGTGGGACTGGGGCTTGGACTGGCTCCTGGGAAGCCAGTGGGCCTGTCGTTCTGATGTGGGTGGGAGGTCCCCCTCCCATGCGTGGCACTCTGCGTTCATCTGGAGGGAACTGCAGTCCCCGGAAGGCAGGAGGGGTGATCTCCCTCAGCTGGGACTTCTCGGGAACAGAACAGCCAGCCTTCTGGACTCTTCCTCCGTGTCTCCTGGGCCAGAAATCCCCCTCCTTCCCTTAGTTCCCATCAACAAGTGTTCACTGACACTGGCCACGAGCTCGACCAATTTGGAAGAGAGAAGACAGTTTGAAGATGGACAGTGGTCCACTGCTGACCACTCCCTCCCTCTCTGCCCAGCACGATCTCTGTACCGAATTGTTCAATAACTAGGGAAGTATTGTACTCGGCAAAAAAATGCCTCTGCTGGAAACAGCATCCCCTGGTTTAAGGGGCTGTTTCTTCCCCTGCCTCCCTGCTAGTTCCTAGGGTTCTTTAGGGAGGAAATAGTTTCTTTCCTATTCACGTCTCTATTCATAGTATGCAGCGCCAGACACAGGATACTCAGTATCGTTTGTCTGGAAGGAATAAATGTGGGGGAACAGATGATGCCTGTGAATGAATGAATGAATGGTGACTGAGAGGTGGGGCCGAGGGCCCAAGGAAGGAGAGCAAACCAGATTAGGGTCACAAAACGAAACGGATACGAAGGAAATCGTTGTGGAGTAAGCGTGCTTCTTGAAAACTAGAGGAAGGTGGGTAAAGACAGACCGTTCCACGACCATGGATTAACGCTCACCAAAAACCGTTCCCGCTTTACCGCAGCTCCTCTTCCTCGGTCCTCCGTGAAGAAGAAAATGGAGGTCAGCCCGTCGCAGGACCGCTCTGTGCCGTACTGCAGCCTCTGAACCACACCTGCCTCGGCTCACAGTGTGTCCACAGCCCTTACGAATCACCAATGCCCCATCAACACGGTTCAACAATCACCGACTGAGGCTCCTCCCCACCCCCCAGCCCAGCTTCAGGGCTGCAAAGCCCACTTCCCGAGCTGCTCTGGACTCAGGTGCAGGCCACTGAGTCAGCGCAGCCCAGGCTCTGGGGATGGCAGTGGTGACCAAGCCGGGCTTGGTCACATATGTTTCTCCAAACATTCAGGTGTCAAGAACTACTTGGAGCCGTGAATGCAGCATCTTCCCATATCCATTAGACCTCCTTTCCAGAATACAGCAGGTCATGCAACATGCAGTAAGTTTGCCAAACGCTCACCTGAGCGCCCTGCAGTTGAATGGAGGGCAGTGGAGGTCTGATTACAAGGCTGTTGTGGGTGCAGGCGGGGCTCCCGCCTTCAAATTTCTGACTTGTTTAAAGTCTGGTTAAAGTGCAGCCTTTACTCCTTGGGCTTCCCCTCAAGAATACTTGGGCAGGGTTCTACCTCCTGCCCACACTGCTTTCCTTCCGCCCGTCTTGCTTGTTCCGATTAAGACACAATTCTGTCCCCGATCTACGTCCACTGGTTCTTCCCACCACGCACAGTACACCTGCTCTGTTTCCACACTGCACACGGATTTCTCCCTGCTTGGGACAAGAACCTCCGCCCAGGACCCATCTCTCAGCACCCACCGCTGTCGTCTGGGACGCCTATGCCTTCTTCCCCTGAACTGTCTCCCGTCCGTGCAACCTTCAGCATCGTCACCCTCAACACGTTTTTCTCGGACTAACTGCGTCCTGTTTTCTCGTCGCCCTCTTGCCTTGCCTCCTCTCTCAGTCTCTGTGCTCATCTGCGTGGTCCGTCAGCCCCGCTTGGGGGATTTGACCCTGAGACCTCGGACAGCAGCTTCTGTTGAATGACCTCTTCACGAAGTTCCCGGCACCCGCTTCCGAGCCTTGCAGACGGTGGGATCCCAGCACAAGGGTGACTGGCCCCAACTGACCGCAGCAGTGATTCCCTCAGCATCACCGCTATCCAGCCTTTCCTGGGACCCTGAACTTGGCTTTGCACCTGTAGTTCCACCGACCTTCTCCAGGCCAAGGCTGCTAATTATGGTTGTGACCTCTACTCAGGGCCCGATGATAGGACAGTTGTTTTATTTTTACTTTTGGCTGTGCTTCCAAATGGTTCCAAATGGTTCTACTTTTCCCGGAGCTCCATCCCATAAGGCTTTCTGTCTTATGGGATGCAGCTCCTACAGGCTCGGACGCCCCCCCTCCCGCACAGGCTCTGTGCACAGGCTCTGAAGAGCCCTGCAGGAGACCCTCGCCCTTGAGGACCAGAGGCTGCAGCAGACTCTTTGCAAACATCGAAAACCCACCGTCCAGCTGTTCAGGAACTAACACGCGCTCTTCAGAATGAGTCCCGCTTTTTCATGGCTCTTCTCTGCTCTGTGCCTGTTAACTAGTTGTCCCTCTCCCACCGCATTTAGTGCCGGTCAGTTCTGTGCCGTGCTGGTCAGACCCCATGCTCAGGTCACTTTCGTACCCGATACACTTAAGACCTCTTGCACTCCGATGAGTTTTGAAAGTCACATATAATAACGGTTGGATAAGCATCTTGGCAAGCAGAGCCTCCTGCAAACCACTCCTGCTTCCTGCTTCGCATGGAGGGTCACTCCGAGGTTGCCGGGCAATGCCTTTGGCTCCCGCAACAGGGAGGCACGGCGAGCGCCAAGCGACCATCCATCTTTACCCAGAATTAGAGATAATTTTAAAAATCAAGCGTGACATTGGTAGCGATAGATCTAATAAAGGCTCATTTGGTAATTCGGCAATGTTTGATAACGGACATCATGCTTTCAGGGGACACTTCCTGGGCTTGACCTCCCCCACCTGTGAACAGGCCCCTGAGCGCTGCGTCTCCCCAACGCGCCTGCCCTTCCACTCCGATCACAGTTCACTTTGCTTTTCACCAGGCGGGCGGTGCTTTCCCACCGTGTTCCCTACTTTTCCTGTACACCCGTTCCTTTCCCCGGTTGAGGGCATTCACAAGATTCTGTCGTGTTGACTCAGGACTCTCGATCGGCCCCTGTTGTCCTTAAGCACACTTAAGCACACACACGCCCCCTGCGCACGCTGACACACACACCTGCACACCTACAGGACACCTGTGCACACATACCCACGTACACACAACCTACACATGCTCGCTGGGTCCCTCATCTCACGATTCTTTTTTCCAACCGAGGAAGCCGGACTGACCATCACAGACGGGTTAACCCTCTCCCAGTTCTGAAAAGTCTGTGTACGTCCCAGTAAGGAGAGTGGACTTGGGGTGGGGGCGGGGAGACCCACACAAGGCAGGGACACTCAGCGCTCTGCTGGCTGGTACCACTCTCGCTCCTGTTTGTTGAACTTAAGATGTGACGCTAAGTAAGTGCGGACGGGAGCCCAGACCCCAGCCTTCCGACGTGAGACGCTGGGCGCACCTGAGCGGGCGCAGCGCCACGCGTCTCAGGGCTCATCCGCGAACCCTCGGGAAACTTTTTCCCAGGGTCTGGCCTCCTGCGCAGAAGTGAGCGCTCCTCCCCAGCGCCTTGGTCTGCCCACAGGGTACACATCACGTCTGGAGACCTGTTTACAGTTTCGTAAAAAAGCCCGGAAACCGAAGATGCACACAAACATCAAGCCGGTCCTTTTCTAATTCCTAGATACGATGCAGACATTCACAGGCCGAAAATTAAGCAAATAAAGAGGCCTTACGGATGCCCGTTTCCTTGACAACTCCCCTCCCCCAGCCCGGCTGTGAAAGGGAAAAACCAAAACGAAAGTGAGGAGGGGTAGCCCAGCCGCGTTGGCCGTCCGCCAGCCCCGGCCCGAACCACCGGCGCGACACGCGTCCACCGATTTAGGCCGGGGCTGCGTTTCGTGTAGTATTTTTGTGGTTGCCATAGAAACGCCAGAGAGGGAAGAACACGTTGCATGACACAAAAGAGACCGATAGGTAAGGGGCACCTTCTCCCAGCTGCACCTATGGCAGGAGAAAACGCTGGAGGCCCGGGGGTCGTCCGGGCGGGGGCGCGCGCAGCAGAGGCGCGGGCGGCGGTCGCGGCGGGGAAGGCGGGCTCGCCCAGCCGAGCACAAAGGAAGGGTCCTCCGGCGGCAGCGAGCCCCTCTGCCTCCCCGGCCGCCCGCCGCGCTCCCGCGGTCGCCTGCCTGGCGTCCTGCGCCGCCGCCGCCGGTACCCCCGCCGGGTCGGTACCTACCCCTTCCAGAGGGAAGTCCAGCCCCCGGGCGAGGGGCCGGGAGAGGGACGCGGACAGCGACCCGCCACGCCCCAGGGGAGGTCGCGGGGAGGGAGCCCGCGAGCCGCACGTACCTCGGTCCCGGCAGCCCGGACACATGGGCTGGGGAGCGGCCAGGGACTGAGGGCGAGCCGGCTGGGCGGCGGGCACGGCCACTAGTTTGTGGGAGCGGTAAGTCCCCCAGCGCTGGAAAGAAAAGGCGAGACTCCACCCAGGGGTGGGCCCTGCGCGGGGAAAAAAGTGGTCCTCGGCTGACGTCTCTCCCCACCCCATGTCACTTCCTTTTAAAGCGGCGACCGCGCCGTTTCGGGGAGGGCAGGGGCGCGCCAGCCGGCCGGGCGGTGAGTCACCCCCGGCCCCGCGGAGGAGCGCGCGTGGCTCCAGCCGGCCGAGCGTTTGCAGCCTCGGCCGCCGAACCGCGGAATCCGAGACGAAGCCCGCCCCGCGGCCTCTCCGCTCCCGCGGCGTCTCCCAAATCCTGTTGCATCCCAGGCCCCAGGGGCCCCTCCGAGCCGCGCGCTCGCAGACGCCTGCCCGCCCGCCTGCCTGCGCTCGCAAGCTGCCTCCCGTTTATGCAGCGGGGACGCGGTCGATTTGTCGCGTAAAATACCCTCAACTTTAAAATGCCCCCCACCCCTCACCTCTCGGGCGCGGCGCTGGCAGGAGGTTGCATTCCACCGTGCAGAGCCGCTAGGCGCCTCCCGCAGCGGACCCCGGAGAACTCGGGGCTCTGCGGTGCTGAGAACTGCGGGCCAGCGGCCTGGCGGCGGGCGCACTTTCTCCCCGCGAAGCGGCTGCCAGGTCGGTTCCCGCGCACACGCGCGCGTGCACAGGCACCGAGTAACACACAACACGTGCCAGGGGTCCGGGCTGTGTCACAAAACGGTGTCTTCACAACTTCAAAACCCCAAGAGGGCCAGGTCTCTAACATTCCTTGAAAAAAGATCATTTCACTCTCCAAAGAGTCGAGATGTATTTTTAAAACATTTTTAAGTTTTCAATTACAGTTAATATGAAATACATTAGTTCCAGGGTATAATAAAGTTCCAGGGTATAATACCCTGGAATTAGTTCCAGGGTATTATATAACTTACGAAGTGATCACCCCCAAAAGGCTGAGCACCCATCTGGCACTGTACACAGTACGGCAATACTTATTACATTACTTATTACACAGTACTTATTACAGTAGTATTGATACAGGGTGCAGCCAAAGGGGGCCCCCAAAAAAAAGATTTGGAATGGTGTCCAGAATTCAAAGTGTATGGGAATAATGGAGAGACATATAAGATGTCCTCACCCCACCCCCACAGGTGTGAGTTGGGGGGGAAGGGACAGTTTTGTACAGCCACAGCCTTTGCAGCTAATCCATGGCATTGTCTTTTAACATATCTATAGCCTCTGGCGGTCACTTGGATATGTTAAATGGCTGTGGCCAGGCTTGGAGCTAGGGGGATGAAGTCACTTCCCCCCAAGATGTAACTGGGGGCAGGTCCCCCCAAGTTACAGCGCCTGCGTAGGGGCTTGGAGAAGATTGGCTCGAGGACATGGGATGATTACTGCCCAGACTAACGATGGCAGCCCAGTAAACTTGTATTAATACAGAATACTGGCAGGTGTAACTGATCTTGGGAGGAGTCGGAAATAGGGGTACAGAGGAAGGTGGGTGCTAGGATTTAAAAGCCAGGCACGGCAGCCATTGGGAGAGAGAGCCACGCGGTTTCAGCAGAGTGAGGACCCCCTGTTGGTGGGGTGAAAGAGGGAGCCACGTGGTTTTGGCGGAGTGTGGACCCCCTCTTTCCCAGGTGAAAGGGAAAAACCACGCAGCTTGGCCAGAATGGAGATCCCTGCAGCCAGGTGAAGAAGACAGCCACATGCTTTTGGTGGAGTGCGGACTCCTGCAGCTTTGGTAGAAGAGGCCCACGCGGCTTTGGGGTGCCCCCTTTGGCTGCGGGGCCTGAAAAGCAAGAGAGACTTTAACTGGAACTGGGTACAAAGGACTCTTGCCAGTGGACCATGAGAGGGTACCACAGTACTTTGGATTAACTCGAGATCCTGCCTGCACAGTGACACAGCTGACGGTGCCAGCGGCCTGCAACACAGACGTGTGCTCTTTTCCTGATTTACGGTACCCGGAGTTGGGACAAGAGGGAAGGGAGCGCTGTGTGGGTGTAGGTGTACAACCTAAAGGACTTTGATATTTTAGTGGTGGCATTAGGCCTGAATAGCATTAAATAAACATTTTGTTTCCTTTTCACAAATCTCTGGCATTAAGAGATGTGTTTCCAATTGGAGGCGGACAGAAGGGCCCAGTAGATTTTAGTATTTTGGTTTTTGGGAGGGGCCCCTGTTGTACAGCCGTTTTGGGCATCCCTAGGTGGGCCAAATATTGTATTGCCCCTCCCTTGGACCACCTGTTGTTCGGTAACAGTATTGATCATGTTCTTCACGTTGGACCTTACACCCTTTAACTGTTGTTATAGTACAGACGTGCGCCCATCAGGATGCGACTGTTAGAACCAGAGTCACAAATAACATGTGAGTGTTTGCCTGTGTCTTTTCTGGTCACCTTTGTGCTTCAGGTGTTCACAATTTACGGGAGAAAATTAAATGCTCAAAGATAATGGGGATACATTGCAGAATTGCCCACGAGTGTTAAAAACAAAACAGAAGCAACCCAACCAACCAACCGGCGAGCCCTGAGAACAGAGAGGGTGGAGAGAGGGGCTTCGGTTATGATGGGAGCAGAGGCGTTCAGAACTCCCGGAACAGGGTCTGGGGATGAGGACCGGGGATTTCTGAGGCAGAAGAAGAGGGTCCGCACAGAAGCCTGGTAGGGTTGTGGGTTACTTTAACATCCGCGTGAGCAGTTTGACAGAAACGCTCGTCACAGGTGGTCCCGGAGCAAAGGGGTTTGTCGCGCCCGGTGCAGTTTTGAGTCCTCTCACAGAAAATTTCAAATTATGTTTTAGAATTCACTTGTTCCTCCCACTGTGGGAACTTGCCAAGGTTTTCTCATACCACTCAATCGAGTCAGACTGATTATTCTTCGTATTTGAATGTTGAATGAAAATTTGTTTCAAAATCTACAAGTTGCATACATTTGTGCTACATTTATTACAACCACAGCCAATGATTTCAGTAGAAACAATTGAAATTAAAATTGCTGACACCTGCAAGTCTTACTCAGAACTCAGTACTTCAGGGTCTTCATTCCATTGTAATTGTAATGATCAGTCTGCCTGTTGTACATCAGGGTCTTCATTCCATTGTGATTGTAATGATCAGTCTGCCTGTTACTGCTACAGTGGTACATCAGGGTCTTCATTCCATTTTGATTGTAATGATCAGTCTGCCTGTTATTGCTACAGTGGCACTTCAGGGTCTTCATTCCATTGTGATTGTAATGATCAGTCTGCCTGTTACTGCTACAATGGCACTTTAGGGTCTTCATTTCATCATGATTGTAAATATCAGTCTGTCTGTTACTGCTACAGTGGCACGTGGCCTGTTCAGACGATGTTGCTCACAGTCTCTGCTATCCCAGGATGGTGCTGAGACATCTGGGAGAAAAAGTGAGTCCTTCTAAACATTTAAAGTGCAAGTACAGCATTCATGGATTACGTTCTATGGGCTTTGGAGCAGCATTTAGTGTCTAACTTAAGTTTAGCTATCCTTCGTTCGCTGTTTCTGTTCAAGCAAGGAATTGTGGCAATTTCAGCATCACAGTCTGACAGTTCAGTTCGACAACTACCTGAGAGTCTGTGCTAGTTGCTGAAGACAAAGAAACAGGAATCTGACAGGAACATGGCCCCAGGTGCTCAAAGTCTTAGGAGGGAGGCAGGTAAATGGTTGAGGTGTCCCCTAAAGGAGGTAATCGCTGCAGTCCATGCAAAGTTCAGAGATGGCCAGAAGAATGGGCGGGGGAGGGGGGGCGGCGTATGCCTACGTGGCTTCTTATCTCACAGCAGGGGTGAGAGTGAGCCGGGCCTTCAGGGTGAGACGCAAGGGAGGGGTGCGGCTAACTGCAGGGATTCGAAAGGAGACTAGAGGCCTGCACTGGCAACCGAAAAACGGATACACAAAAAGCCAATTAACTGGCAACAAAAAAGATGCAGCCTCATAAAAACACAGGAGAAAGGTGGAGCCTATCCCCTCGTCAAACACTCGAAAACTGGAGCACACCGCGTAGAGAGGACACTCTGCAGTGGTCACCTCCTCGCTTGCTGCAGGCAGTGAGTCGGACACAGTAGGAATTGTGTCTGCTTCAAGGAGACAAAGAGCAAAGTGTAAACCATGAAGTCAATTGGATATTTGGGCTCTGTGATAATCTTACAGTTAATTGTTGTATATTTCAACCAACTCTCATGGAGCCTTTAAAATGTGCTGTTTGTGTGTTTTAACTACCAGCAAGCTCCTGTGGACACGGTGTTCATGCTGAGGTCTTCTTACGTCCACCCTGGCGGCTCCAGAGTCCCTGGCGAGGGGAGAGCGGAGGGCTGGGCCAGGGTCCTCCTCGGCCAACGACACCCGTGCCCAGAACCTGGGTGTGCAGGTGCGCCATCTCTGGGCCAGCTTCCAGTGTGTCTCGGTTTTGTTTGATGCTTCGTTGAAACACTGTTCTCAGCAGTCACTCGCCTCCTTTCTCTTCTGGATTATCATCAAGGTCACTTCAGCCTGGCAGGGGTGACCCTGGGAAGTCATTCACAACCTCCTCCCACAAGCAGGCGTTGAGCGACTGGATGCAATTTAATACAGAGGCGAGTCTACCACAAGAGGAAGAACAAAATTCAAATCAATTAATGCCCGACTGGTGGGCAGCATCTTAGAAAGTTACCAGCTTCACCATCTGACCTTAAGAGATAAAGTAACATGAGCCCTGGCTGGTGTGGCTCGGTGGATTGAGCGCTGACCTGTGGACCGAAAGGTCGCCGGTTTGATTCCCCATCAGGGCATGTGCCTGGGTTGTGGGCCAGGTCCTCCTCTCCTCTGCCAGCTTGGGACTGGGGGAGGCAGCTGATCAATATTTCTCTCATACATCAATGTCTCCTTCCCTCTTTTCCCGCCTCCTTTCCTGGCTCTGAAAATAAATAAATTCTTTAAAAAGAGAGAGAACATAGAAGAAGACTTGACACTGATCACTCGCACTCCCATAAGCAGGCAAAAGCCCACCATGCTGAGGGGCATTTAATCTGGGTGATTTTCGACCACCCGCATTTTATATTACGGTGTGACTTAAAAAACAAACAAACCCTGAAAAGCATGAATTACTTTTGTAAACAGAAGAGTGAGGTGTTTTTTAAAATAAAGATTTGTTATCCAGTGGTGCCTTCGTGGGCAGTCAAAGGAAGTGTGTGCATCTAGGGACTCAGAACCTGCTCAGGCAACCGCGCCTCGGAGGCCCTTCCGCGCAGGACAGTCTGGGAAGCACTCGGTTCAGGCCCCGCCTCTCACTTTCCAGGCCCCGCCTCTCACTTTCCAGGCCCCGCCTCTCACTTTCCAGGCGGTGTTTCAGAGCCTGGGAGGCGGTGTCTGCTGGCCCCTGTCCCAGGGCAAACAGGACAGGGCTGAGGCCAAGTCTCCGTTTCCAAGATTCCTGCCTCCCAGTTCTTCCCGCTGGGTTCCCCGGGCCTGCCAATGGAAAGCTGGTCTGAGAGAAAAATCGACTGGCACTAAGATGTTAAAAAGGAGATCTCTACTCAAACTCCTGCCCGTCATTCTAAGTGTCATTATTAAAAGTTCATGTACACTC